GGTACATTTTTATATACAAAGCCATGTTAGGGAAACTTCCATCCTACATCTGCTCCCTGATCTCACAGCGAATTGTAAGTGGCTACTGCCTGAGATCGCATGCTGTGGTTTTATTAAATGTGCCAACTGCTAGGACTGTCTTAGGGAAGATAGCATTTAGATGCGCAGCTCCACTGTCCTGGAATAGTCTGCAATTAAAATGGAAACTGAGCAATCTGGTGCCACTAAATGTTTTTAAAGCTCGGTTAGATGCTACTGAATCGGAAGCTGTTGGTACCTGTGCATGTGGATAGTTATGTAAATTGTAATCCCTGTAATGCTAATGTATGATGTCCTTTTTGTTGTTCTGTTTATGTTTTTAATGTTTCATGTGGAACCTACTTGAGCAGGTCTCCCTTGAAAAAGAGGTCAATGATCTCAATGGGATACAACCTGGATAAATAAAGGTTTGAAATGAATGTAATCACATATTTCCAAGGCACTCCTTTATAATTATTAGGATAAATAAAAACAGGTTTGAAATCATTCCAATGTATACTATAGGACAGTAAACCTAAAATATCATTTAAATTTGGAGATACAAAAATATGCATGAATAAATAAATGTTAAGGTAAAATAAGATATGAATGAACAACAAAAATAATAAAAGTTACATTTATTTGTTATTGGCTATGGTAGGCTATTGGTTATGTTCATATACTTATTGATTATTAAAATGTAAACCGATCTTTTTCATATGGGTGTTTTAGAGTTCCCCTAGATCAGGTCTCTAGTAATTGTGTGCTCAAAGTGCACCAGATTGAAGCATTTTACTTTAAAATGTTCAAAAAAATCTTCCCGGGGGGGCAGACCCCCGGACCCCCCTAGAGGATGTGATGTCCACCCCCCAATTCAAACATGTTCATACAATACTGAATACATTTGAAGCCATTTTGACGTATATTACCTATGTCAATACGTTTCTGTTTTTGTAGTGTCTTTGTCTTTTGTAGAGATTCTTCATTTATTCTTTATATATGAAATCTCGCCTAGGGCAGCAAATTGTCTAGAACCGGCCCTGGTACTAGGCCTCAAGAGCCTTTCTTGTGCTGGCAGACACATACAAACAAAGTGGCAGGGCGCACTTCGCACGTGCACACACTAAAAAATTCCACGCGCTCCGCGCTCACATTATGCTGGGCCCACGTGCCTTAGCACCGCTGCTATGACTCCATCCTAGGGGAAACACTGTATTGTAAGTGATATTAAACAACATTATTGCATATTTTACTTGTATCGTTCAACCAGATGTGAAAAAAATGTAAACACATTATGACCTCAGAGCAGATTTGGGACATACGTACAGTAGCGAATGTATGAGTGATCTCGGGGAACTTTATCCAGGCTGATGTCTCCTTCCTGTCTCTTGGGAACATCAGAGTCTGACGTCCGCGGCGACAGAGTGATGATTAAGGATTCTGTGAACTTGATAGCGTGAGTGCGCACGCCGTCATTTTCAGAGTCCAGCAAGGCTAGAACATCTCCTTTCATCTGTGTGACCATATCCCAGGATGCCTCCTGCCTCTCGGATACTGCTTTAGAGCGCACCAGCCACTACAAGGAGATGGAAGTCAAATATATGAAACACAACATGAATGGATAGAACACAGATCTTTTTAGAGTCTAAGTATTTATTTATGTATATATTATTACAATACGCAGTATTTTATTCTAATGTTAGATTACATTTTACACTCTGTTTTTATCTCACCTCACTCTATTATAAATGGTGGACTTATTGCTACATTTAACTTGAATCTTAGTCAAATAAATATGTAACAGAACAAAAAACAGACAGAAAACTACTAGAGAAAGACTAAATATTCATAAAGGAGGCAGTGCTTACCTGCAGAGACACTTTGTACAGTTGTGTGAGTGTGAGGATGGCTTTCTTCACCACGTTCACACTGTCATCTCTCAGCAACATGTTCAGATTGGCTATCAGTCTAAGAAGGAGCTCATTGTCCCTTTTACTGAAAAAGACATAGAAAGAAAATACTGAAAACATCTGCTCAAGTCTTTATATGCCAAACATGAAATGTACAGCACTGAGGCTGGAGGAGTCTCTGTTTAAAACTCACCATGCTTCCTCTATGAAGCCAATGACAAACTTTCTCACTTCTATAGACTTGTCAGTCTGAAAGGCGATCAACTCCTAAAAGAAGAACAAGTCATAGGAGAAAGAATGATGAATCAAAGTGTTAGTTTGATGTAGCTCTACTGCACAATGTGTCATGTTATACTGAATACAGCTCCTGTAATAAAGTAGCTCCATTACAGGTGCAACAACAGTAAGGTCACAAAGCTTCATCCAGGTTTACTTACATCCAAGAAATTGTCAAGAAGAGAGGGATCCTTGTTAATGATGAGCTCCTGAACCTAAAAAAGACGAGTTGATGTATTTAATATAGTCTTCCACACACTTACTGCTCAATAGGCTTCATAACTGGGCCCAAGTAGGGGCCAACAGCAGGTCAATGACTAGGACAGGTTGCAGTACATTGCTGTGCAAAGTAGCCAAGTAATGGTTGGAAAGCTTGTGTTTAGGGAACATTCAGTCATTTGCACAGATGCAACTCATTTTGTATACAAACAAATAACATAAAACTGATTTGTATCTATATTAACAGTAAAGAAATATATATAATAAAAAACCACACACACCTGTTTGAGCACATTTAGCTTTTCATCTGTTGGTATGAGGGCAGCCTGATTCAGAAGATCCACCACCTGGAACAGAACAAGCTAAATGAATTCACTTTTCCTTAACCATACTAATTCTCTTATAGTTCACACGTTAAGTGTAAGAACTGCTTTCCTATACTTCAGCTCAACTGACATAGTTTATCAGCTTATCAACTGCTTACTGAGATTGATGGTAAAGTGTTTCAAGTTCATGATCTTAAGTTCCCTTTGCCACACTATTTCATAGCAGCACTATGTATGTGCACTAGAACAACAGTGCTAAATGTAAGGAGGTAAAGGAGGTTTACAAACTGAGCAAATTAAGTTTAGAACAAATGCAACAAGCATTGCCTTCGTTGTGTTGAAATGCATTTGAGGATAAAAAAAAGAGATGATTGTATTCATTTTTCAATTCATATTATGCAAATATGATGATTTCCTCCACAATTGTGAATCATACTGCTCTTGCAATTGCAGGACTTTTTTTCCAAATTGTTTAGACTGAACTAATAAGGATCAGAAACAGGTTTATTGCCAAGTAGGTTAACACAAACCAGGAATTTATCTTGGTGTACATTTGTTCATTTTATTTTGTATCATTGTTTTACAATGATACAAAATAAAATGAACAAAATAAAACAATGATTAAAGAAAAACAACTTTAAGAAAAATATAATAACATTAAAATATAGCAATATTTAAATTGAATATGGATAAAGTAAACGTATACCCTGACAAATATAATAAAATAAATAAGTGCAGTTACAATGTGCAATGTGCAGATGAACATTGTGTGCATGAATGTAATGCATAGAGTCTATAGAGCCAGCTAGCTGAGGGGTAGGGTCAGCCCTGAGGAGGAGGCCAGTAGAGGGGAAGGAGCTGTTCAGGTGGAGAGAGCTTTGGGTCCTCCTGCCAGAGGGACGCACACAAGTGTCGGCCACACAATCTTATTTGATTTCATTGACCATGGAACTCTCATTGTGTAGCTAATATGTATGCAGCACTGCTCGAAAAAATATATGTTCCATAAACATGTCAAATCTTGATCAGCAGTAGGAATGTGTGCTGGAGCCAAGTCATCGATATATCGGTTCAGCCCAACAAAGGGCTAATATTACTGTATTACTAAAACCCATATCTGATCCAAGGAAAGAAACGGCTTACCCGTTCACTGGTGGTCATATCGACCACCTGAGGGATGACTTGCTGGGGATTCAGTTGAGTTTCCCCCTCCTGAGAAGAATACTCCATGATGCTGTTCTGTCTCTCTCACTATGTGGACAGCATGCTTTCAGATCCTAGTAGACACTGCAACCTGTTTGACATCAACACAGTCAATAAGGAGATCTAAGAGAACAATCACAATGATGTGAGGTTAGCGTGCTAATATTAAACCTACTGGTCATACTTATTGACTTCATTGTCATATATTGTATCCCATTGAATACTGAAATACATTAGATATAAAGCATTCATAACAACATTCTAAAGCTGCGTTTAGCAATGAATAACACTTTGTTCTAGGCCATCGCGCTAGCCTAATGCTAACCGTGATGCTAAACCTGCAAGCTGTTCTATAACATTATAATGACAGATATGTGTTACTTACTTTCCGATACACACTCTTCACTCCGTCGTAGCACCTGCAGCTTAACGTGACTATCGTGACAGGCTTGATAATGTAGCAGCTTTTACATATTCAATAAGTTCAGCAACTCTGCTCCATTAGGGAAGCCGCCATGTTTAATTGAAAAAGCGGTGTCGCTCTTCTTCTACGGTGGGTGAACGTGCAGACGCAGCGCCACCTGCTGGACACATGAATGCTGTTTCAGAAACCATTTGGACTAGAAGCACCCTTTGTCGTTAAATAATAATGAATGTAGTAGGTTAAAAAGTATTACTTGGTATATTTGTATATATTTTTAAGCGATATATTTGCCATGAGTTTGGAAACATTTGTCCATTGTATGTTTGTTTTAGTTCTTCCACAGACAGGTACAGATCAGTACCAACAGTGACACAATTGAGAGATATCACTAAGCTATACAACGCTGTATTATTTATCACTTACTACTCAAACGTATAAAGCTGTAATTTAGAAAAATATATTTCATATATATATAATACATATAATTGTTAGCTCTTACATACATTAGTGTTTGAATGGAGGGTTTTACAGATTACATTGAAAAAGAAGTCTGAAGTGTGCGATAACAATATAAGCCAGTGCAAGACTTCATTTCCCAGAAGTCTCAGGAGTACATAAGTGATGTCACCTGATAGTCAAGAGGAGAGGGTGTGCTAATGTTTACAACCTTAGTGTTGTCAACATTTTGATCATTAAAACTGTGATTGTTTCGATATTTTAGCAGCATATGTAAATACTAGTATGGCACAGACTAAAGGACTTGTTCTCGCATTCAGGTAAAAAGTCTACTTTAATATCAAACATCTGATCACCTTATCAAGCTTGTTAGCGCTTAGCTCGTCAACGTTAGTTTTCTATATTGATAAAGAAGCAAACGTAGCACAGCGATGCTATTTGCTAACGGTAACAACACACATTACTACACCCCAGCCGACTCATCAATGAACTACAGTTAACTGGACATTAAACACAACCTTCGCTTTACTAGCTGACCCCAGGTCTGTAAACATAACAGCTACTGGAGCAGCTAGCTTGTATGCTGTTTCGCTAGCTTCAGGGGTTGGAGAAACGGCTCACCTGACATGAGAACTCTGATAGGATTCAAACTCAGTTAAGCTAAACTATGCCTTATGGAAACTAGACATTTAACTGAACACTGAAAATATGTTGCTACGAACAGTACAGCTATGTTTTACAGTCAATGGTTTTCTATCCACCACACACAACTGACTATAGCTAGCTGGCATTTAGCTCCACTAATGTATGTCTGTCGTTATTCTCTTTATTATTATATGCATTTTAAAAACGTATTGGATTCCCATTGAGTCACTCATTATAGTGGTAAAATATCCACTGATGTTTTCTGACAGGTTGTTGGTTTAAAAATGTTAACATTACTTATTTTTGCTCTTTCTTTTTTGGGCAGACTTTTGTAAGAGTGAGTCCCCTGGAGTCAGCCTCTGCCAAGAACATTTCAGTGTGTACATTCTTCTGGTTAACAGGTGTGTATTGCAATGTAAAACGGCTATTTGAAAGTTATTCTCTGCCAGGATATTATAGTCCTACTTTGGCTTTAATGTTTTGTTGAGGACCAATTTTAGATGAGAGCAATATATCAATATCAAATTGATATCCTGATATCAATTGTCTTAGATTTTGGAAATCGTAATATGGCATAAGTCTTTTCTTGGTTTTAAAGGGTGTATAAGTGAAATCCCTAACCTATTAGTCGACTAATGCAGTCAACAAGTTCTACATTTAGGGTACGATACAAATTGAGGTTGTACTTTATCGTTAGAATCTAGAATTCTGTTGGCAGATTGTCCCATTCATGGAACACTCATGGATTAATTAACGATTTGTTTCTGATCATCTTGTAACTTCCACATGTCCTTGTCGGTCCATGCAGGTGTCCCCAGTGTCCCGATGGAGTGGGTGTTCATCATGAACCGGATGAGCTCTCAGGGAAGCTCTGCAGCCCAGCGGAGGAGGATGGCGCTCGGAGTGGTGATCCTCCTGCTGGTGGACGTCATCTGGGTGGTCTCCTCCGAGCTCACCTCAGTAAGGACTTTGTTACACTCACTCAGTTTTCCACACCGGCTGCTGCAATTCTGGTTGCAGTACGAGATGACGTCTTAAATGAGAGAGGGGGTGAAGCTGTGCTCTGTAATCAGAGTGTATTTAGGTGTTCTGGGGTCAGCAGGCCATAGGGGTTTATAGAGGGTGCAGGAATGAGTCCTAAACCCTGAAAATAGTTAGCCTTTTACCCCTTTTACTTCTGGGCTCCCTTGTCTCAAAGAGTTTTGGGTTAGAGACCTAAAAAAAAGATCTATGGTAATGCAAGCATATGAGATGTTTACATTTTGTTCTATGACATACATCACGTCAGTAATTACCCCACTGGTAAATGTCTGAAACGTTTAAGTTAATTCAAAACAATGTTTGATACAAAATGTTGAAGTCAGACAACTAGACATCATAATGCTGAACATTAGCCGTCTTTAGCTTTAGCTTAGCGGTGGTGACGTGAAGTCATGTGACCTGCTGTAGTTTGTTTATTGCATCACGTTAGCTTTTGAATTCTGGCTTTTGAATTTATGCTTCAACAAATGTACACGTGGTGTGAGTAGGTGGAAATGACCCTGCTGAACAAAACATGTGAGTATCATAAACGTTTGTTCTGAACTAATCTTAAATCCAATGGAAAAATCTAATTCCTTTTAATCGATGGAGCCCTTGCAGTACTAACTTCTGGGTTGGCTGCAGACTTAAAATATATCATTGTGCTTTGTTGGTTACGCCCCAGTTTGACATAACCCTGCCCCTCTCTCTAGCAACAGGGAGTTATTAAAGTACTGAAATACAGATAAAGGCAACTTGTGACCCTAACAGTGTGCTTCTCTTGACTCTTTCTGCAGTACATTTTCAGACGGCAGGAGTACAACAAACCCTTCTTCAGCACATTCACCAAGACCTCCATGTTTGTCCTGTATCTGCTGGGCTTCCTGCTGTGGCGGCCCTGGAGGCAGCAGTGCACCGGCTCTCTGAAACGCCGACACTCTGCGTTTGTAAGTGGTTACAACACACTCACCATGTGGAGGCAGTACTTTCCCAACCTGAATTAGACAGTCACAAACCCATTTTATTGACTTTATTTGACTGAGCTACACCTGCAGCAGTAGCAGAACGGTGTGTTACAGTAAAGCTCATAGAAATAATGGAATGGAATAATGGATTTTGATCTTTTGTTTATCCAGTCTTAGCTTGCCTTTCAATGTATCGTTCTTTTTACAGCCGAAGAATTCACTCATTCACCTTAGCTCAGCTTGAAACTGCAGCAGTTTGTTTGGGTTTTCTTTTGCAAATAAAAGTATTTCTGTGTTGTGCCTATTCTTCAATGACTGCACAACTTTTTGAAAGGTGGTGAAGCTTTCATGAAGACTGTGAAAGTTCAGAATTATTGTTGTTTTGGTCTGTAAGTTGATGCTTTGTGTCTCTCGGCAGTTTGCTGATGCTGAGGCCTACTTTGCACCCTGCAACACGGACACCACTGTGAGCAACTGTTTGGTATGTAGTCTTAAGTGAGAGAGTAAACCAGTTGAAGTGATACAGGTTTAACTAACTTGTATGTTCAATTTTTACCACTTATTTGCTTTGACCAGTATTACTGAAATCCAGTACAAAATGTCACTTTGAGGCTGGTTTGCAGCTTGGTGGCAGCTCAACTACAAATGTCTGACCTCTGTCCCTCTCTTCAGAGTGAGCCGCTGTATGTCCCGGTGAAGTTCCAGGATGTACCTGCTGAGCCCTCACATTGTTTAATGGGAGACTGTGATTCTTGTGAGTACACAGTTGATGTTGTCTGGATATACAAATCAAAATTAAGCATACTTAATTGTTGAAACAAGATACACAGGAAGTTAATACAATTCCACCAACAGAGGGCAGTGGTGAGCTATGGAAACATATTTAATCATTGTTATGAGCCAAACATAGGAAATACACATTTAACAAGAGAAACCACTGTCTGACCTTTTAAGGAGGGCCACACTCTTCTTTCTTTTCCTCTGATATCATTTTTCACATAAAATAAAAAGTACAACCTGTGAACAAAAGGATTTTGTGTGTATTTTGTCGGCCCTTTTGTACTTTATGCGATGCAGAGTTATAACGGCCCTTAGTGTCTGGATGTGACTGAAAGGCCATGCATCTCCAGACTCCAACATCACTCAGTGAAGGTTCTGAGAAAGTCTTTAATGTGTTGGTTGTGTTTGTTTTAACCTCACATGTTTAGCACCAGTGTTTAAAATGACAGCAGTGTGTTCAACCGAGTCATGCATTAGCATCTGAAAAGCGGGATTCTTTGTGTGATAAAATACAATGATGGTGTTGCTGTAAATACAGATGGAGGCCCGAAGTTACATTACTGTATTTGTGTTGGAGCAATCGGAAATAGAGCCAGTTTTCCCCTGCCTCCGTCGACTCACTTCCCTCTCCATTTGATCCCCCCCGCAGCTTCCAGGAAGCAGCGTGTGCGCTTCAGTAATGTGATGGAGGTGCGGCAGCTGCCCTCAACTCAGGCCCTGGAGGCCAAACTGTCCCGCATGTCCTACCCAGCTGCCAAGGACCATGAGGCCATGCTGCGCACAGTGGGCAAGCTGACCATCACTGATGTGGCCAAGATCAGCTTCTTCTTCTGCTTCGTGGTGAGTCAAACAGCTAGGATGGACATGGACACACACACACACACACACACACACACACACACACACACACACACACGTACACTTATATTGTGAAAATGAAAGCATGATGAAGCCGTTGACCATGTGGCCTTTCATTTTATGAACTGTTTTTAATTTGTGACTCATACTCTCTGAGCACATTCAAGAAAAGTCTCTAAAATCTTAAAGCAGAATATTGAACTCAAGCCTTTATTTGATTACTTATGTGGGGATTATACTCCAAGGTTTGTAAATGATAGAAAAATGACATTAGCACAATACACATGTAATTACATTACGTTTTTTTCCTGCTATAATTTTTGATATTATGACCACAATCAAACCGCCCACATAGAAAAGTTATGGTTTTTAAGTGCTTCTGTCTCAGAAATATATCAAGCATTTACTTTGTCCAGATAATCTCACTAAAGTAGAAGTATTCTGGTCAAATGTTCTTAAAGTACTCATGATCCTTGACTGATGTGTGAGTACAGTGAGGGCTTAAATGAAACTGTTCCCTATAGTGTTGATTCTTTTACATCATTATTTATTTAGTCATCATATGGTTTGGTTGTTTTATTCCAACAGGTCAAGTAACTTGGTAATCAGATAAATGTAGTGTCATATAAAAGAAAAGAACCTTCAGAATGTGTGCAGACTTCAAAGTGAGAGTGTTGCACTGTGAGGTGTATGAGGTGTCACATCCCTGCTTGTGTTCTCCAGTGGTTCCTGGCTAACCTGTCCTACCAGGAAGCTCTGTCCGACACGCAGGTGGCTATTGTGAACATCCTGTCCTCCACCTCAGGTGACTCTTTCCCTCACAACATCTACACTGTGAAGCAGAAACCATTATAACTCAACCTTGTTTTAGTCCATTGGAACATGTGTGATGCCTATGTGCTGTTGGTGTCATTTACCTAAAGAGAAGTTAGTTCAATAATATAAATGGCTTTCTCTCCTCCCTCTCAAGGCCTGTTCACGCTCATCCTGGCAGCTATATTTCCCAGCAACAGCAGCGACCGGTTCACCTTATCCAAACTGTTGGCCGTGGCTTTGAGGTAAGGGCTCCGTCAGCCTGTTGGTGGCTCAGAGAAGGAGAGCATGTTGGGAGGTGGTTTCAGAGCTAAGCATGTATTCAATGAGTGGATGGTTTGTTGGCCAAATGTGTCTTGATCCTTTACTTTTTTATTTAGGTTTTCTATCTTTTGTGAATATTCCTGGTCCCAAGAAATAAACAAAATATAAACTTTGAACCCTAGAATCTCATTTAATAACCCCCTGATCTTGGTCTTTTTTTTGCGACCCCGATCCATATTGAATATTTTTTGCCTAAGGAACTTTTATTTAGTTTTAGTCTTTCTTTTATGTTAATAAATGAAATGTAAGTGTTCGCCAAGTACCATAGCTTGATGCTCTATAGATAGGATTTGTTATTCACACTTGCCTCTTACATTAGATTCGTTGCATAATGATGTAGATCTAATCTAAAATGTATATCTTGAAGTGTACTCGACTTTGTTTATTTGAGTCAGTCAGTTCATGTTACATATCTTTTGTTCAGCATGGGAGGTGTTACCCTCGTGAGTTTCTCCAGCATGGACAACCCTGATGACAAAGGCGTCTCAGGTAACCATAGAGATATGTCCCATTTCAGATCACTTGTGTAATGAAATTGTTAGTCTTATTCCCAATAGCGGCGACTTGATATAGTTTCTTCTTACCAAATGTGATGACCTTTTTTCCTGCAGGTTCTCTGTGGTCTCTGGCGGGGGCGGTGCTGTACGCGGTCTACATCGTCATGATCAAGAGACGAGTGGATCGGGAGGATAAGCTCGACATCCCCATGTTCTTTGGTGAGTTTATACTCCGTGTATCTGTTGCTATTCCATGAAGGCGTCTCCCCACAGCGGACAGAGGCGTCTGACAGCTGCTGTGTGTCTCAGGGTGTGTGGGTCTGTTCAACCTGCTGCTGCTGTGTGTCTCAGGGTGTGTGGGTCTGTTCAACCTGCTGCTGCTGTGTGTCTCAGGGTTTGTGGGTCTGTTCAACCTGCTGCTGCTGTGGCCCGGCTTCCTCCTGCTCCACTACACCGGCTTTGAGGCCTTCGAGCTCCCCAGCCAGCTGGTGTGGACCTACATCCTCATCAACGGCCTCATTGGAACCGTCCTCTCAGAGTTCCTCTGGCTCTGGTGAGCACATTACTTTTTTTTTTTCACAGAGTATGAGACATAAAAGGCTCAATACAAGGTAAAGAGACATTAATGTTTAGTTAATATCTCTATTGACCTAAAATATGTCAGTAAACACCCCACAGGTGAATGTTTGAAGCTGCTGTGTGTCTAGATAAAAAAACAGCCGTTGCTAACAATTTAATAAATGTGACAACAAACAACTGTACTCTAACGTTAGCTTTTATCCTTAAAACAACATAATCTAGGTGATAATGCGTAGATATTATCTTCCTATGGAAGCCCATAGGGGATTCAAATAATATTGTAAACTTGAAAATAAAAAAAAATTATGTGTTATATAGTGGGAATGCTGATACAGCATTCCAACTATATGTTATGCTACGGACAAAATTCTTATTATTATTCCATCCAATTATTTTGGCCCTCTTCTCCTCCCACATTGAACATCGCAGAAACTCCGTTCAAACATCAAAACGTTCAGCTCGGTCGGGAATCGATGGCTATTACTTTTATCATTCATAACTTTCATAATTCCAGAGATACATCCCATAAAACATCCCATTTTTAACCATTGAAGTCAATGGAGAAATTCTTCAGACTTCAACAAATCTTCATGCGACTAAAACTGCTAACTGTTCATTCATACTTTCACTCAGAAACCTCATTCCAACATTAAAATGTTACACATCTTTCTGACATTATTCGTGTAACACAACTTTTAAATCTGATTCTTACTTTTAGAGATATTAAACATTGTTCAGACCTTGGTAAAGAGGCTTTCTTCAGATTTTAACATTAACTAGAGTGCGTGATGTCACCGCTAGAGTGGAGGAAATCTTGAAAACATTTTTTAAAACTGCCATAATTCCCAAACCCTACATTCCTGAGACATCATTTTTCATGACAAACGTAGGAAAACATCTCGTAGCTTGAAAAATAACAAATAATTAAGCAAAATAATTAAACAAAATGCCTCTTGAGGGCATGAAGTGACAAAAACGTTCAACATGCCTCCATTAAAGCCCATTGTAATTTCAGGCTGATATTTCCTCACGGTAGCAGCCGCACACCTTTAGTCAAACTGCCAAAAAGGCCACATTATTAACCCGAAAGTACACACAAATTACACTTCAGATACTCAACTTCCTTGACATGCTTCACGTTTTGAAATTTCACAGATATCTGTTATCGTTCTTCCACAAAACGTTCACATGTAAGAGGTTTATCTCTCATTCAGAACAATGCAAACCTTTGATCTCTGCACACCTCGTTAGCTCAAATATAAACACCTGTGTCATGGAACACGATGATGTCATAACACACAGGTGTTCGTGTTTGAGCTAACGACGTGGTCACTGGAGTTTAACAGACTGTCTGAGCCTATTCTTTTCTGTCTGATGGAGACTTCATACTGACTTCAACATGTTCCACCTATTTTATACATTATTGGTGATACACAGCTGTCGTCGTTAGCTCAAATATAAACACCTGTGTCATGGAACACGATGATGTCACATTGACAGGTTTGGTAACGATGCAGCCATCAACGCATCTAAGCGTATTATGGGGTGTCATCACATGCCGTTGCCATGGCGACTGACCACTCGCCATGAAGCACGATGTCGCTGTAAGTCCAATGGACACGGTCCGATCGCCCCCCAAACTTCGCTTGTATATCACCGGTCCAGCCCTCAACAGCTCTACGTCAATTATGGGGTTTCTTCAAATGCCGTTGCCATGGCAACACAATGCTCGCCATAAAACACGGTTCTCTCATGACTTCAGTGAAAATGCTCCAAACGGCCCAAAACTTCACAGGTTTGGTAACGATGCAGCCATCCACACATCTAAGCATAGTATCGGGTGTCATCAAATGCCGTTGCCATGGCGACAGATCACTCGCCATGAAACACGATGTCGCTGTAAGTCCAATGGACACGGTCCAATCGTCCCCCAATCTTCACTTGTATATCACCGGTCCATGCCTCAACAGCTCTACGCCAAATCTGAGATCTCACCATATGCCGTTCCATGGAAACGCATCACTCGCCATAAACGACGATGTCGCTATAACTCCTATGAAAATATTCAAAAAGTGCTCAAACTTCACATGTGTGCTAACAGTCCAGCCGTGAAGACATCTACGGGACATGCCGTTGCCATGGCAACACAATGCCCGCCATGAAACACGGTTTTCTCATAACTTCAGTGAAAATGCTCCAAATGGCCCAAAACTTCACAGGTTTGGTAACGATGCAGCCATCAACGCATCTAAGCGTATTATGGGATGTCATCAAATGCCGTTGGCATGGCGACAGATCATTCACCATCAAGTTAGTTCAAATGTTTGCAGTTCAAATATTCTGCTGCTTTTCCAAGCCTTTTTACTTTATTTTCTTCTCTCATCACACATTCAAGCCCCCAGTGTTCATGTATCATTTTAATCTAAATTCTTCACTTTCTTCTTACACATTACATTTCAGCATAGCAGTTTAGCGTCACATTTTCAGCATAAAGCATTCCCACTAGCAATTTCTTCAGGAATTGCATTCTCCAGTCTTTTTAATAATGTCCTCTATTGGCTTCCATACCCAAACAATAAGATTGATACTCAGTGTGGATGTGTGTTGCTGCTCTCTCTGCACAGGGGCTGCTTCCTCACCTCCTCTCTGATCGGCACTCTGGCACTGAGCCTCACCATCCCACTCTCTATTATGGCAGATATTTGCATGCAGAAGGTATGTTTCCCTCTTAACAATCACCATCAAGAGTTTGAAATGACATGAAAGATGTCGTTTGTTTGAAGAGTGTGTGTCAGAGCAGATTGCAAAATGAAAAATGTGTGTGTGTGTGTGTGTGTGTGTGTAGGTCCGTTTCTCGTGGCTGTTCTTTGCCGGTGCGGTCCCCGTCTTCCTCTCCTTCTTCATCGCCACGCTCCTATGCCACTACAATAACTGGGACCCTGTGCTGGTGGGCCTGAGGAGAGCGTATGTCTTCATCTGCAGAAAACATCGCATTCAGAGGTACAGTTCACTGTCCGGCTTCAGAGGGATCACAAGGACCCTTCACTCTGACAGTGTCTAGAATCTGCTTGCATTAACACTATTATCAACAGTCGTAGTGGCAAGCCATAGACCAGGGGTGCCCAACCTTTTTTGAACCGAGAGCTACTTTTAAAGTTGCCAGTCTGCCGGGATCTACCAGTCCAAATAGAGAGGCGTAGCCATTACTGACAGCCTACTACCAGGTAAATACACACTTCTACTTGTATAAAACTGACCTTTGTACGATTAATACTTCATAAAATACTGCAGATCCTTTATCTTACCTCTTTCTAATCTACACACATACAAGTATTTAACTGAAGTTACACAACAGTGTTGTTGATACAGAGTTGGAGTTTATTCACACGTCACATACTACAGTGGGTAATGTTTTCAAGAAACATTGAACAGTGCTGTCACATATGACACAGGAAAAAAAGAAAAGACTCTGAACCCTTTCTTTGCCATTATATAAAAATATAATATATATGTGTTGCTACAAAAGTATAAATTAGGCTTACTCATAAGACAACTCAGATCTGAAGCTACACAGGAATCTGCTGCCAGACTGTCACTCCTGTTGCCACGGACAACGTCAGCGAACTAGTGCCGACTGCCCACCAGCCACGCCCCGACACAAGGGGTCACGCCAATCACAAAGCTTTGATGCGTTCAAGTGCATTATTCTGGCACAGGAAGATTATGTTATAGGACATTAACAATAAAACAGAATATTGTTGTTCTATTTTTAGACACATCTCGTCGATCACGATCGACTGGTTGGGCACCCCTGCCATAGAGTGTTGTTCTGTTTTCCAACAAACACTTCAACCACTTGTGTAGACACTTGTGTGTGAGAACACCTTTATCTTCTTTGGCAAGGTTACACAAGTCGGACTGTTTTGAAAATGTTGCGTTTCGGTTGACTGAAGTACACAGGATTTCAGATTTAGTTTCCAAAGAGCGTTGCTTCTATGAGGTAAGATGAATCCGATAATCAAACGTAATACCCTGGCAGCAGTTTTGGCTCTGCTGGACGCTCCACTGAACACCGGCAACAATGCTGTCTGTTTGGTTTTGATATATAGAGGGAATACTTTTCCAGAACCCGACATAATGTGGGTGTGTGCTCTCCCAGGCACATACAGGCTGTATTCTAGCCAGTGTTAGTGTCCACAGCAGTGTGAAGGGAATGCCTCACTTATGCCACGGCATTTGATCATCCATATTGGGAGAAAACTATTCAAATGTATTTTCACTTACTTTAAAAAGTTAGATTTGGAGTGTTTTAAGTATATCAACACACCAACAAGCGGTATATTTAGTCCCATGTAACTTTAAGAAAACAAAAAGGTGCTCTCTCTAACTGATCATCCATCACAAGCATGTTTTTAGTTATTTTTATAATTGTCTGATTATTAATGGCCTACAATAATATTAGGGAGTAGAAGTGAACTTGATTGGTCATGCACACTGGTCCTTATCTTATGGACACACCACCATATCCTCTTCCTTCAGACAGCTTGTAGTCACATTCAGATGCATATCTGTGTACAGTACAGATACTGTCTCCATTCATTCCAACAGATACAGTAATGTTGTCATCTGCACAATGCTGTTATTAATTCTGTATAATAAATGCTAAACCTTGCATTTAGATAGATACACTTTTTTTTTTTTATGAAACGAAAATAATGTCCTTAGGTAAACTAACTGAATTGGAAAGGGTTACAATTCTAAATATGAATGAATATAGAATGGTTTAGTTGTGTACTTATTTAAAAGTTAAACTCTGTGAAAGTTAAAACAACAATATAATATGATATATTAAAAACATTTTAGTTTTGTAAAATACCAAACTTTGTTTTAGGAAATGTGACTCTTCACAACCAAAAATAAATTGCATCAACATCTATGTTGTTAATAACCATAATCATTATGTAAACAAACTTTAATTTAAAGATCCCCAAGAATGTATATTTCTTTAGGACTGAAGTTACTTCAAAGATTTGATAATAATAAACTTCATTGTAGCATCTTTCAAAACATAGTTACATACTGTAGTTACTGCGCACTGTGACATGGTTGCACTACAAAATCTCATTGTATATTATTGTATAGCAAACTTTCAAGCGTGGTCTGCCGCAAGCGATCGGCAGGAGCGGGGCTGTCAGCATCAGCTGTGAGCGTGGCTTGCTGTTTAAAACACCTTTTTTTGTATCCATATCTCTCGCTAGAATCTCCCACCATCCAACTAACAACAACAACAACAACAATGTCAAGCCTTTGGGCTCTGAAACTAGGGGACGGGCCCAGGACAAATACACATGCATTAATCGCACGTTAAAATAATTAGTGGCGTTAAAAAATGTTTGCGTTATTAACGCGTTAACTTGACAGCCCTAGTAAACGTATAAACACAGCATAAAACAGATAGAAAATAATAAAACCAAAATAAATCAATACAAAATAAAACAACTAAAATCACATTAAAGTCATTCTAAAAGAGTGAGTTTTGACAGTGGTTTAAAAGAGCTGACAGATGTTGCTGCCCTGATCTCCTCAGCAGAGGCCTTCCTTTTGTTGGTCCTGGACCTTGGATTTAACTCAGCAAAGTGAAACTAAACACAGGCATATCGCTTTTGTCTTCCTCTTAAAGTGTCGCACAAGGGTGACAAAGTTCAAGCTTTTAAAGTTTTAAATAGAAAGTGATTTCTTTTCATTCTGTAGTGGTGTTTGCCCTAAAAAATGAATTGACCTTAACTCTGACACACACTTAGAGGCTTTTCTTCTCACAAGGACAATAGAGATGCTGAGTGTGTAATCACATGAGCATGCTTCCCAGACTGCTCTCTGCCACAGTTCTGCTCTCTTCTTCGAACGCGTGTTCCCATTTGGTGAGGGATGATTTTAATAATGATGCTTGTCAAGAAGATGCCTGTGATGATGATTGACACCTGCTTCCCCCCGCCCACAGATTGCCAGAAGACAGCGAGCAGTGTGAAAGCCTTATTCCTCTACACAGCGTCTCCCCCAGCGAAGGAAGCTTCTGCTCGTGATCCAGCAGCCAACACAAGTAAAGGATCATTCCGATGTTCAGATGCATAAATCAGTTCGTTTAAAAAAAAAAATCTTACCCTTGGAAAAACATGAACATTTCCAAACTTCCCAAAAAATCATTTAAAACAATGTTGTTATTACTGTTATTCCTGGTTTGATTTTTGTGTAAAGTTATGATGAACACAAAAATACGTTATTATTAAATCAAGACCAATAATTCGATACAGTATAGTAAAACAAGCCTTTGCTTAACAAATGTGGCAATATTTTTAGTAACTGCATCCTCTGTATTTTTGAAAATCACAAGGCTGAATGAATGCATGTTTGTGTAAACCAGAGATGAACTGACATCTACACAATGACAGATGATGTTCCTAATCACAAATCCAGAGTTCTTATCAACTCTGCTTTTACCCTCAGCTTTACAAAGTCGTTTTAGATATTTAGGTATTGGCCAACCTGGAAGTTAGCATCACCAGGACTGCCTCGACAAAAAGCAATGTGATTTTTTCCATGGAATTTAGAATATAGCGAAAAATAAGATCTGTGTCCAACACACTTTTATGATACTTAAATGTTTAATTCAGCAGGATTATCTCCACATATTAACACCACTTTATGATTTTTAAAGCGTAAATGCAATCTCCAGAAGTAAAAAGCTATTGTTGGGCTATAAAGGAACTACAACACGGTCACATGACTTCACATCAACACCGCTAAGCTAAAGGCGGCTAATGTTTAGCGTGATCAGGCTTAGAAGTGTTATTTAGACACTTGTTAGCAACCGCTGTTTTATTAACACATAGAGGCTCCAGACATTCACCAGTGCGGTATTTACTGACGGAGAACAAAACGTAAAAAGTGTAGCAGCTGCATCCCCACGGTTTGATGAGAGGAAGCATCCCCACTTTTCCTTTCCTTGGCTTTCAGGGCGTGCTACACCCTTTGTTCTCTTTGGGAGACGGCCAAGACTGTCAACCGGAGGGTAAGAATGTCCTTTGGGCATGCTCTGCCGGACCCCCCGAAAGGGACTGTGGTCCATCACCTACAGTCTCTCAAAAATCCTGTTGAAAACACTGTAGGAAAACACTGTAGTAGTGCAATTGACCCTGAGCTGTATTAGAAGGAACAGCTTTGTTGGATGGGATGGTGAGTTGCAAGAGTACCTGGTGTGGCTAAAATGGAAAATATCCATTACCTTGCTTTGCCTGTCACTAGTCCAGCCCCCCCAGTCGGAACTATAACTATGCTGTGAACTACCTGTCTGCAGAAAATGTCAGAAACACAACTCCAAATAAGGGCTTATGTTGCTTCATGTCTGCTAAATCTGATAATAGGCAAGAGTTTGCCAGCACATTACGACAGAAACGTTGTAAGGTGATAACATGTCAATGCTTTGCTCTCAAATGCACCCAAACGGCCAAACACATTTGAAGGCAACATTTGAGTAGGTTTGCATCCCAACACTAGGATTTCTGCATCAGTTGATGTCTCCTCCCTGCTTCTCTCAGTTGTTTTTCTTTGAACATCTGTCTGCGCCCGCAGTGTTTGGACATTGTGCTGAGTAAGAGGGACAGGAGACAAGCAGGACAGGATGATCCTCACGTAAATATTTAGCATCTGAGATTGGCCGCCCGCTTTGCAAAGTCTGCGTCTGTTCACGACTCGCAGGTTTAGTCAAGCTTGTCTCAGCGGCCTCCAAAGCCACACAGTCATTTCCAGCAGCGCAGACAGATTCTGCACTCAGCATGAGGTTCTGAAAGAGCCGTTAGTGGAGAATGAAGGAAGTGCAAACTTAAGCCTGTCTGGGTGTGAGGTGTCGAATGGAGCAGCAATAGTATGTGTGTGCACGTCTGTGTGTCCACTTGCACAAAAGTAAGCTTGAAACTCAGGGTTATTAATCGATTAACCTTTTGATTATTATTTTCAGGTAAAGGAGGTAGTGAAGCGCACATTACATCCTCAGTACCTGACCATATTTCAGTTTTAATGATGGGAAAATAAGAAAAACATCAAATCCCCACAACAGAGAAGCAGGGACTGCCCAATGTTTGGCAGTTTGACTTGATAGGTGATTCACATTTAGAATGGATATTGGTAATACTGAGGTCTTCAGAGTGTAAAGGATGTGGCTTTTTCATATTTCATTTTTGGGGAATTTCATTTCCACAATGCAAACGTTTATATGTTGTCTCAAAGTCTTCTCTACACTGCCAGGAATTTCTGAAATCTTTATTTTGTTGAATTTAAGTCAAATATGAAATATTGCATCTTTAAACCACTAGAATCAGCTGACTAAGGCCCAATCCCAAACCACGCCCTACACCCTACCCCTACACACTCCCACTCCGTGACGGAGTGAACTCCGTGGAGTGACACTCGCAGCTCAACGAGCCTCCCTCCTGTCAGATGGAGGGAGTAAATACAGCGGCAAGCTTTGGGACTAACTCCCCTCTCTCCGGCAGAAACAGGAAATGCCGTAACTGTATGTAACAACGGTTTCAAATCAGCATCTCTTAGACAAAACATTAAAATTAATAACTCAAATAAAACTCCAAACATCTTTAATTGTGTTTTTTTTTTTTTTTGTAAAGCTCTTTTAGTTTTAAACCTGATTTTTATAAGCTTCTTAGTTTTTGCAACAGTCTGTAAATATACACATCTTTATAATAAAATGCATAGGAATGACTAAACACAGGTATGATCCTAAGTAAAAAAACATGAGGTTATCATGAGGTTGTTAACATCGCAATTTATCAGTGGATGTTTGCAGGAACTGTTTGTAAACGGCGTGTTTCCTGACGGACACACACAGCGTTGAGTCCGGTCAGGTAGGGCAGCAGGTGAAGTCAGCACCGATGCAGACTCGCTGTTTGAGAGCTTGATAACCCACTCCCCCTCCACACTCGTTGGTTTGGAACAGCACTTAATGTGGCGGACCCTCCGCGCAAACAGAGGTGTAGGGTGTAGGGTGTAGGGCAGGGGTGCCCAACCTTTTTTGAACCGAGAGCTACTTTTAAAGTGGCCAGTCTGCCGAGATCTACCAGTCCAAATAGAGAGGCGTAGCCATTACTGACAGCCTACTACCAGGTAAATACACACTTCTACTTGTATAAAACTGACCTTTGTACGATTAATACTTCATAAAATACTGCAGATCCTTTATCTTACCTCTTTCTAATCTACACACATACAAGTATTTAACTGAAGTTACACAACAGTGTTGTTGATACAGAGTAGGAGTTTATTCACACGTCACATACTACAGTGGGTCATGTTTTCAAGAAACATTGAACAGTGCTGCCACATATGACACAGGAGGAAAAGAAAAGACTCTGAACCCTTTCTTTGCCATTATATAAAAATAGTGTTGCTACAAAAGTATAAATTAGGCTTACTAATAAGACAACTCAGATCTGAAGCTACACAGGAATCTGCTGCCAAAGTGCAATAAAAAAGACTAAATTAATAGAATCAAACCCTTTGTTGCATTTTAGTAGAGTATAAAAAGAAATGCCTTTAAAATAGGATGCAAGCAACACTAGTTTCTTAACCTGAATTAGACTATAATCAATTTAAGTTTGCATTCTTATACCATTTTGTACAATAATTATAATGAATAAGTTCAAACAAACTAAAACTTACAGCTGATTAATAACGGTATCTAACTTGAGTTTTTATTATATCAAAAACCTGTTGAAATGCTACTGTTATTTTTACTGTCCCCAAAAAGCGCGTCGGCAGCCTCCAGGAATGCTTCTTTCACAACTTCGCCGTCTTTGAAAGACTTCATGTGTTTGGCAAAACGTGCCTGACACGATAAGATGCTATGGTAGCAGCCTTGCTCTTGTTGTTGGGCCTGGTGAAAATGGACTGCTGTGCATTTAGCTGTCCTTTCAGGTCCCTCACCTTTTGGGAGCGTAGGACAGAATTAGGAGGGAACTCCGTCTCGTAGCGTTTGTGCACTGTTTTGAAATGCCGCTCCTAAATGACCCTTCTTCGATAAAGCCACGCTCGCATTGCAGATGAGACAGATGGACTTTGAATTGGAATAGATACAAAAATAATCATCCTCCCACTCGGAGTGAAAATTATATATTTTGGGCTTTTTTGCTTCTGCCACAATTGCGGTCTTGTGTGTGTGCGGACTGTCACTCCTGTTGCCACGGACAACGTCAGCGAAATAGTAGGGGCGTGGGTGTAGGGTGTAGGGCGTGGGTGTAGGACGTGGGTGTAGGGCGTGGGTGTAGGGCGTGGGTGTAGGGCGTGGGTGTAGGGTGTAGGGTGTAGGGCGTAGGGCGTGGGTGTAGGGCGTAGGGCGTGGGTGTAGGGTGTAGGGCGTGGGTGTAGGGCGTGGGTGTAGGGTGTAGGGCGTGGGTGTAGGGTGTAGGGTGTGGGTGTAGGGCGTGGGTGTAGGGTGTAGGTGTAGGGTGTAGGGTGTAGGGTGTGGGTGTAGGGCGTGGGTGTAGGGTGTAGGGTGTGGGTGTAGGGCGTGGGTGTAGGGTGTAGGTGTAGGGCGTGGGCCTAAATTCCCTCCAAACTGTAGAATGTAAAATCCTCCCATGAGTTCAGTCATGTTTTCACATTAAACACATGAAATCAAAAGATCTTTGGTCCTGTTGCATTAATCCAGCTGCCTGTACACTGGGAGGTCAATTTGCCAAATTGATTGACCATTTTTTAAAGCACCACATAGAATTGTGCACCCCTACATGTCTGTAGATTAATATTTATAAAGTATTTATACTTATATATTACACTAGCCTGAATTGTTTTCTCAGTTTTCTCATACTTGTTTTCTTATTTGTCTCCAAAGGTGGTGAATGTGGATCTCTGAGCTGACAATCTGGATCTTTCAGAGACATTGAACTACCCCAGTGCCTCCTTTAAATCTATTTATTTTCTACAGTCTTGAGACGTCACAAACATTTCTACAAGCTCTTTTTATATTTCCATGTTCCAGTCATCACAGACTTCAGACTTTTCCTTTAAAAGATTTTCACGTTATTCCTTTGTAAAAAGAAACCTAATGGTTCTCAAGGTGCTGGACATTAACAGTGATTACCATATTGTTATGTGACCAAATGAAGCGGTACATTTTAAACTTGATCATAACACTAACAGAGATACAGTAACTTTGTGTGTCTTCAAAATGTGTGAGTTCCCAGTTCACAAAACATTTTTCAGGAGCAACACTGTTCTGTTCTGGATGTTGTCTGTCTGTTGTCTGTCTGTTGTCTGTCTGTTGTCTGTCTGTTGTCTGTCTGTTGAAGCCTGGCTCCTTCTTTGTTAAGTATTTGTGTGAAGCAGACACATTTTCACAAATGACAATCTGTAAGACGTTGATTCGGTTGACTTTGATGGAGAAAGCTTGCTTTTTTATATACCAGCAGTGTAATAAACTTCATATGGTAGAGTCATAACAACAGCACGGTGATGACGTCATCTTACTCAGCCTCGGCAGCTCGGGTGAAGACCAAACCTTTCAGAGTAACCTGCATTACTTTAGAGCTCCAGTTACACAATCCTGATAGAATTCAAAAGTTTAAAGGGAAGGTTGGTATTGTTTAAGGCTCTATCCATAGTCAGTGTATCGCCTTCAGAAGATGGAGGAGAAGCTGTGCATAGTAGTGCATTGCTACACTGCTCGTACTCCTGTCTGATCTCCACACTGCGTCTACTGTAGGACATGCACTGACTATGGAGAGCCAGCTCATACAACCCCACTTCTAACTATCCCTTTCAAATCTGTCAGTGCAATCCTGCGTTATTTTATATTTGAGTCTCTCTTTCACTGAGACAAACTGAGTCTGATATGAAGAATAATTCAAACCCACTACAGCTGAATAAAGAAGCAACACCAGCTTCACCAGCACTTTGTTTCAGTGATGAATCATGAAGACAAACTGTGATTGAGACATAATCCTTGTCTTTGAATATGAAGTCATGATCAGTCTTCAGCTATAAGCTACAAAAGGCCTTGCTGCAGTAACGTTTGTCTATTGTATGAACAGATTCCTTTTCATAATGGCTGTAAATACTAAATAGTTTTGTTGAATTTCAGATAACCACTACAGATTCTTATCTGAGATTGTGTATCATTTGTATATTGTATGTGTCATTGTTAATGAATTATACCAGAGGAAAGGTTTGCAGCCAAATGGTTGTACTGAGATTGTATCACATGGAGTAGAAGGTTGTATATGATCCTTTTCTTTCTTCAGCAAAAAAAGATTTATTTACTGCCTGTGATTTCATGTGATGAGAAAAAAATGTTTCTTTAAGCAGCCTCAGTGTCTGTCATAGAATCCAGGATGTTAACACTTCAGTTGAAGGTAAAGTGTCCATGTTGTGTTTATTGCACTCGGCGTTGACTGCACGTATGAAGTGGCGGAAGTAATAAGCGGCCTGTGGGGAGGAACTAACGGGAGCACTTCAAGTGACCACACTTCTCTTGTTCATTATTGAACCTGCTGTGTTTTTGCCAATCAGTCGAGTATAAAAGCTTTTTAGGATGATTAGTTTGTTCAGATGTCTGCCTTGACATTCTTTTTTTATTTTCATCTTTTATCAACGGTGCTTGTGGAATCATAGATATGATTATATTTCTTTCTCCTGTTCTTTGTCTTTTTTTTTCTGAGAAATGTCTTTTTCCTTAAAGTTCAAATGAATGTTATAAAATGTAAAAGAAGGCTGTAATAGTAGCTTCCCTTGTATCAACCTCAACTCTTGAAGTCTGTTTTCATACGTACACTGCACTATTAAACAAGTCTTTTTAAATCTCTGTTAAATGGCTTATTTCTGCTGGACCTCTACAATAAGAGACAGTTGATGTTGGTAAGGTGTTTCTGTAAGGTGACCATGCAGTCATGGACAGGTCAGCGGTACATTGCAGTCAAAGTGCGGCATTAGATGGTGAACATTGCTAACACTGTGAATGTATTAGGGTAAACATTATACCTAGATCAGCATTTAAGCATTTCCCCTTGTGAGCCTTTAAATAAGGTTTCACAGGGAGGTCAAATCAAAAACATTTATACAAAAAAAATGACAGTGGTCAATGAAAAACTGAAAAAATTTTACTATATGGCAGCTCAAAATTGGTGAAGAATGCATTTAGCCTTTTTTTGGTTTGAATTAATCTAAAAACTTCATAAATCACATTTATTGTTATGTTTCTGCTAAAAAAGAAAATGTATTCAATATGAAAAATGTGCTGAAAAAGAGCAGGAAGCTGTATCCAATGACAGAGAAGCAGAGCCCTGTTCACACACATTCACCTCTTCAGGGCTACTCATCACATACTCGTCACAAAAGCATGCAAATGTTCTCCTTCAATATGCTCTTTGAAAACATTTCTAAAGAGAGCTTCTGTATTTCCTTCAGTGTATCATCACATTTGAGCAAAGACTGGAGGCCTTAATGTTGAGTAAAAAGCTGCCAGTACATAAGACAATAAGAAGAACACATTTAAGGTCAGTTGGAGTATAAAATATGTTTTCTCTGAGGCTTTAGTAGACCTGTACTGTGTTTCTTTTAATCTTTGAAGTATATATGATATAAATTATAACTAAAAATAACACATGAAACATGTCACATGCCAGCAAAGTATGTTGCCCAATTAAGTTTTATTTTTAAATTAAGCCCACTGTCATTCATAAACCACAATGATAAAATGTCCCAAAAGAACATGTAACGTGCACCTTTGACGATTTAACTATTTTTTTCTTGTGTTTTTTTGTGAGTATTCCTTTGAAAAGCGTCCAGTGTTCTCCTCAGTGTTTAAAGGAAACAGTCCTGTATTATCTTTGAAACACAGGAAAACCAGCTTCTCTAAGAATATCATTTTATCAGCCACCCGTATGTTATCTCCTAATTCCTATTCTGTTTATGCTGTATTTCTCAATATAAACATTTCTATGAACTCACTGAAAAATGTGATTACTCCACCTACGCATCGCGCCTGGCTTTTTTCAGTCCGGTTCCGGTTTGAACTTTTCAACTTCCCTGCAAGTTTTTTTTTGTTTAATCAATTGTCCACTTTTCTGTCTTTAATACAGGGCCGTTCTCTCCAGTTCTCACTGGCAGCTCTTCTCTGAATGTCACTCTCCGGTGCTCCATCTTTGTCTTTGATCTCCATCCAAAACTACAGTGTTAATATCAACCAACTTATTTATTTGGTCAAAGTCAGGCTTGACTCAAGGTTTTACTTAGTTTCTAAGTTGCATACATTTGTATGTTTATTTAGGGGAATCTCTAGTCCCAACAACAACTTGAAGTAAAACGAGTGTTTGTGTGAAGGGGAGGCGCATTAGTTGATGATAAGAAATGAAACCTGGCCTCAGCACTCGCTGCCTGTTGCAGAGTTTAATGTTTAACCGCCCTGCCCTGCTAGGTGGGAGGAGGTTTGTGTGAGCACAGTGTTAGCTAACACTTTGCTCACACTGAAACCACCAGACTCTGGACTGGAACGTGAAAGGGCTCTCCGGGATCCTAGGTGATCATCAGGGATAGGAGGAGTTGAACCAGGCTCAGAACCACTCACTGGATTTCTGGGGTTAAGAGACTAAATATTTAGAAGAGTACTGACGATATTTCCTACAGTGGTGTGTAACCTACTGTGATTTGGAGTTTACCGCTCAATGGAAAACTGTCCTTGAAGAATCAGGGACAAAGAAAAGCCTTCATTGTAAGTTGTTAGCTTGGAAAGCGGGTCTCTTGTGGATCCAGGCTGTATCACAGAGGCTGCGCCCAGCAGAACTGATAAGCTAACCGACACAAATCTGAGCTCTGTAACCATGGATGAGGAAGGTGAGATAGCAGACTTGAAAGACTGGACTGAGCTTGAACCCAGCTACACCGTCAAAATCCTTCTCACAATCTTTTACAGCTTCATCCTGGTAACGGGCATCGTGGGCAATTCAGTCACTATCAGAGTGACGCAAGTGCTGAAGCGTAATGGCTACCTGCAGAAGAACGTCACGGACCACATGGCGAGCCTGGCCTGCTCCGACCTGCTGGTGCTCCTCATTGGCATGCCGGTGGAGCTCTACAGCGCCATCTGGTTCCCGTTCACCACCGCAGAAGGGAATGCATCCTGTAAGATCTACAACTTCCTGTTCGAGGCTTGCAGCTACGCAACCATCCTCAACGTGGCCACGCTTAGCTTTGAGCGCTATGTGGCTATCTGTCACCCGTTCCGCTTCAAAGCCCTGGGTGGAAAACGCACCTCTGCCCTCATCACCTTCGCTTGGCTGGTTTCTGTCCTCGTGGCCCTGCCCCTGCTGGTTGCCACGGGAACGCAGGGACACATTCCCTTAAAACAAGAGCTGCCGGTCCAGAATCTGACCTTCTGTACCAACCTGCGGGAGCACTGGGTGATGTACAGGGTCAGCATCTTCGTAGCCTTCATCGTCTACATGGTGGTGTTGGTCTGCGTGGCCGTCATGTGCCGGGCCATGGTCCTCGTCCTCCAGAAGACTCTAGGGTCCGGGGATAGCGGCACCAACGGGGTCCAAACAGCACCAAAGCATGAAAGTTCAAAGGTCAAGACAGCAAGGAAGCAGACCATCATTTTTCTTGGTAGGTTGTTGATTCAATATTTCAAAAATACTAATTGTTCTGCCAACTGTGTCCCCTCAAGAAGGGGCTTGAGCTTCTTCCTATTAAGTGTTATCCCAGCTGAGGCCACACACACACGCATGGTTTACTCTTCTGTCCTTTTTTTTGGTGTTCTGTTTAGGGAAGTAACCTTTATGTTAACGTGCATGTGATGGGGGTGCAGCATTATATATATATTGCAGGGCGTAGGCATCTCTAAAAAGTGTAACAAAAATGTTACAGAGTGTTATTTTTGGGCCATTGTTCGTGTGTGTGTGTGTGTGTGTGTGTGTGTGTGTGTGTGTGTGTGTGTGTGTGTGTGTGTGTGTGTGTGTGTGTGTGTGTGTGTGTGTGTGTGTGTGTGTGTGTGTGTGTGTGTGTAGTTCCAATGTTGTGACCATTCCTTCGATTGATTACACACACTGACACACACTGACACACACTGACATGTTTGTTTAGAGCTAAACCTTCTGGGGATAGTAACTTACAAAAAGAGTTCAGTCACTCAACTAACTAATCAAAATGTTCAGCTGTACCTATAGGCCTTTTTTTTATATTGAGTAGTTTAATTTATAACCGAACATCATATTTTTTTAAAATATTTTAAAGTAACTAGTAACTACATATGTTAAATAAATGAAGTAGAAGTAAAAAGTGGCATGAAAAGAGTTACTTCAAATAAAGTTACTGAAAATAGGACAATACGTGTCATATTATCAGTTGTAAGGTTGCCACTGTGTCAAAGGGCTCCATGTCCATATTTGAGGGGGGCTTTGGGCTTGCCTACATCAGGAAGTAGCCAAAGGTCAGGCAAAGGTCAGCGGGTCAAAACTCAGGCCCTTTCTTATAACATAGTGGGTCAGCTACTGGGGTGTTCTCATGTCCATGTCATAATGTAGAAATAAGAAACAAAGAGAATCAGACAGAAGTGGAATCCACCAAAGACCTCACAGAAAGTCTCTCCTACACATTTAGAGATAAATCGAAGACCTGAACTGCCAATAGTTGGCCAACCGAGATAACAAATGTATAAACAGGTTTGAAGAATAAACACTGTGAGCTGAGGAGGACATCCCGAGGACAGCTCTGTCCTGGTCCACTGGACATCAGCTAGCATTGGACATGAGAAGAAGGGACTCAGAGATGATAAGGGATGCTGGTATGACTCACTGCAGAAGGGTTAACATGAACAGAGATCCCAATAAAAGTCCCTAAATCATACAGCACAGCGGTCAGAGAATCAACACATGAATACAGCTGGCTGACAAGAAGCATGACACACAGGAAGTAGAGCCAGACACAGGATATGTTCTAGATAAACTCCCTGTGTAATGTACAACCTCATATTAGTCACTTTCTTAGAAAATGATTACCAAAAAGCTAATTGGATTAAGATTAAGAAAGGGAATATATTGCAAATTCATCTTTTGTATTATCTTTAGACTGATTAGGTGTACGCACGTTCTGAATGTAGAGAAGAGGTTGGAGTGAATGAATGGGTCAAACAAGCACAGGATTTTACCCAGAAGACTGGCATGTATCGCGTAAAACCAGAAGTTCATATGTTAAGTTGTTTTAAGTGACATTACACAACTATAGTAGTACGTATAGTCACATTCTGTCACATAGATGTCAGAACTAAACACAATATTAAAGCACAAAGCAATCTTATTTTAACCCAAACCTAACCAAAGAGTTAGTGTTGTTGCCCTTTTTTAATATTTGACATAATGAAAGTGGCATCGTAGCACTGTTTCACATGGTTTCATAGAGTAATCACAAAGGTGATTTTGTAAGAGTTTGATTATTGTTGTGTGGTAATGTAGATTTAGTGCAGAGAGGTTGTTGTAACGTGAAGTTCAGGTGATAAAACATCACAATTGGAGAGAGGGTTTTTTGGAAAGAAACAGGCCTTTTATTTTCAGCCTTCAACAAAAAAACATTATTTTGGTATCAGTGTCCAAAGTTTTAAAGGATGATGTACAGGAGTTTAATCGAATTGCGCCAGGAGCTCACAGAAAAGACGTGTGCCTCGTTCGCTGCCATATCCATGGAACACGAAAATAAACACATTATTTTACGGAAATATAAAACAACCTTTTCACAACAGGCCTGGTGCTGCTCTTTCACCAACAAAAGTAACAATTCCAACCCCCTCCTCTCTCTTTCCAGTGACTCTTATAGCAGACAGCCCGCCTTCCTAATTCAATTTGGCCAATCAGGTCATGACTCTGAAAGGGGAGTGAAGAGTTAAACAGAGAAATAAACATTGTTTTTCGACAACTAACAAAATCCTCAAGGCCTAAGTCAATTAATTATTTTATTTACAAAAATATTGCACATTCAAAACATACAATATCTGCACAGACTGATAGTTTTTAAGAAAAAAAGAATTCCTTTCCTTACAAACAAAGGGCTTAGCCGTTAGTGAGGGAGCTTGTGCTTCCTCACAGAGGGTGAAAAGTCTCAGATCAAATCAGTGGTTTTCATTATGTAAAATGATTGATTATATTTTCTGGAGTAAAATATAAAATAATCTTGTTTTTTTTTGTCTAACAAGTTAAATAAAAAGAAACGGGGGAAATATCCAACAAAAGCTTGAATCAGCTGCAAGGAAAGAAACGGAACAAAGGAAAAATACGTACGTTTAATTTGATTCTTTCTGAAGAACACTTTTATTTTTGCATCTTCATAGTCCCATTAGATCTTACACATAGAATATGGAAATAAATAAGCCTACTATGCATTTCCAAATCTTATGGAATGGTGGCAGTGCAGCATCAAGAAAAAACTAAATCAAAACAACATCTTTATTGCGAGCATAGAGGACAGTGAACTGAACAGCATCGACCTAAGTTTATTACCAGGTACGTTTACACGTACAAGGAATTTGCTCTGGTGTCTGTTATTGTGACCATAAACAAATCACAGAAAATAAGTTGCAATAGTAGGTAAAATAAAAATGAAGACAATACAAATGTGTATTTTTAAGAAACTATTAAGCATTATAAAAAAATAAAAATAAAGTATTTACACCAAATTTGTATTTAAATATACAAAGAACCTTAAAAGCTAAAAAACAAAAACACTTAGGACACAGACAATATGACAATATATGGCAAACTCTGGTGATTTATAGTTTAAAGTGGAGGGCTGTGCAGACATGTGCAAAAATGCATTCAGAGAGTTGAGCATGAACATGGCTCACGAAAGAACAAGATGTTGTTCACATGATGTGCATTAATGTAATGCATCATGTCTGTGTGGTGGATGATAGTCAGTGTCAGTGGGGGTCCCGGTCCTTGTTGATGAGGCTGGTAGCGGAGGGAAAGAAACTGTTCAGGTGGAGAGAGGTTTTGGTCCTGATGGAGCGCAGCCTCCTGCCAGAGGGGAGCGGGACAAACACTTTGTGTTCAGGGTGGGAGGGGTCGGCCACTATCTTCCCTGCTCCTCCATGTTATTTGGAAGAACTGACTTTCTACCATCAAATAAACTATATAAATATGCATTTATGCTATTGGCTATGCTGTCTGTTTCAACTTGTGCTTTATTGTGGTCTTTATCTCAGTTTATTGGAATGTAATACCACAACAGTTATCAACAGAGGTGATTTGGAGTTTTGGTTTGTTTTCAGTTCTTAGCACATAATCCTTTATTAGGATTAAAGTAATTCCATAATTCCATAGTGCATAGAGAACAGTAGGAGTGCGCGGCAGCCCTGACTGACTTTTAATCAGCGTGTGTTCTGAAATGCCACTCCTCAGTGTGATAGTCCTTTATGCAAACAGTGTGCTGTTATGGTCTCAGTAGGAAGTGTGTGTGATGTTTACTGTGCACCACCACCAAGGCAAGGCACGTTTATGTAGCACCTTTCAACACAAGGCAATTCAAAGTGCTTTACAAAAATAAAAGACATTAAGAGCATTAAGAAATAGTGCAGCGGAAAAACATTATAAAATGACATTTAAAAACTGTCATTAAAAAGCAAAGATAATAAAATAAACATAAAACATGAATAACACAGGTATAAAATACAGCCAATAGTTCAATTAAAAGCAGCGTGAAAAGAAAAGCCTTCAGCCTGGATGTAAAGTAGTAAGAGGTGCAGCGGACCTGCAGGATTCTGGGAGTTTGCTCCAGTTATTTGGAGTATAATAACTGAACAAGTCTACTGAAGATAAAAGCATGAACAAGTTTTTCCAGATCCTGCTGTGACATTAGTCTTTTAATCCTAGATATATTCTTTAGGTGATAGTAGGCTGATTTAGTAATTATTGTAATGTGACTGTTGAAATTCAGGTCAGAGTCCATGACTACACCTAGATTTCTGGCGTTATCTGTAGTTTTGAACATTGCAGGCTGAAGCTCAGTGCTGACTTTTATACGCCAGACACTTCCTTTACCTTAGTGGGAGCAATGGCATCTATAACATTTTTTATTTTCTAATTAGGAGATGCTGTATTGAATGGGGGGGAGGTGGTGCAGGTTTTAGATTGGATGATTGTGGGGGCATGGTGATGAAGATGGGGGAGATGGTGCACGTCTCTGCTTTGGGGTAAAGGACTTGGTGCCAAGCCTGTGTAGCTCCTTCAGGTGGTCAGTGAACTCCAGGAAGGGGGACGAGGGTGAAAGGGTGAGCGGAGAGAAGAGAGAGCTGGGGGGTGAAGGATGAGTTTCCTCAGGCGGGTGCAGTGATACTTCTTCAAGGTTTTCTATACGTTATGTTGTGTGTTTCTCCTGTTTTGATTTCTCTTGTTGCTTGTCCTTGGCAGAGGGAGCAGATTGATGACACAGGCAGTTGAATTTGTTAGAAATAAACAATTGTACTCCTGACAAAGTCCATCTGCTTTAAAAAGATGTCTGCAGTCCCAGAAAAAGTTAAAATTGTCAATAAAATGGACAGAATGGTCAGTACAGGCAGTTGAAAGCCACGTGTTCAGTGCAAACAATCTGCTGAATCTCTCCACTCATTACATTACATT